TTGGGCCTGTGCTGAACACTTGGTGTTGACGACATTCCCATCTTCCCTTCTTCTTCGTCTAACCCCACCTCCTTCGTCTGTGTATGGTTGGGGCTGGYGCAGTCTTCTTGTGWGAAGSGCCASACCCCTTCRCACCATGATGATGATGATGTATGTTTGGGGCTGCATTGCAATATTGATTGTTCGGATCATTGGTATCTAAGTCTTCCGCTGTGCTATCTTATACTTTGTGTTGAAGGGTCGGTTCTTGTTCTGGTCTGCACCTATACGGTATGCAACACTGACCCAGCGTCTTCCCTTCTGGACCTGCCCTGCTGCATCAGCAGGGATGCCTGGACCAGTAGGGATGTTTACCTAGAATAGTTGCCAAGTCTCTCCGATCTCTCTCTTTGTCTCTCTCTTTGAAGTTGGAGAAGGAGGAAGGTGGAGATGGAGAGGAGAGGAAGAACAGAAGTCTATTTACCTCTCTCTCCGAATTCATACTGACTGGTGAAAGGTGCTGCCGTGAGCCGCTGCAGATTGCAGAGCAGAAACCTGGCAATATCTGGCCGAAGTTTCCAAGCTATAGTGACAACGTAATCCTCTGCCGTCACGCTCTACTGCTGCACACCTCCACTTTCGGCAGTTCTCCTCCTCTCCTCACACGTGCGACTGCGCCTGGAACTAATGCACTAACTCGAGTGGTGCTCTCCAGCAGCCTCGTGTCAGCTTAGAATGGAGTAACTCTGTCCCCTACGGGCTTGTGAGGCCCAGCGCCCAGCTATATACGGCTGGGCCACTCCCTACTCCATCTGGTAACTCTCCTGGGCCATTGGATCTAATCTGATTCGGTGGTCCACGAGAGTGGTCGATGTGCAGGTGCAGTCCCACCCCAGGAAATTGTGTGTCCGGGCCCATATGCAGATGTCCAAGCGCACCTGCTGCCTCAGCAGCTACCTCTAGGCCTGCCTGTGAGGTCCAGTCCTAATGAGCACAAAGTCTCCTATGGCCTTTAACGACATGACACTTGTGAACCAGGCCTACCACTGGTCTGAAAGGCACTTGTGCCTGTTTGGTCATCAGTAGTAACTGACAGTACTCACGACAGTCAAAACGGGAACAAATATTAGAAGAACATGATGAATCTGAGAACGCGAGAGGGTATTGAGTTCGACAAGGTCAATCTGAACTGCAAATTTTGTAGCCCTATTCTTCCAGTTTAGTTTACAGGACTTCAAGGAATGGAATGTGTAGAAGCTCCTCTTAGCATTATTCTTTGGTGTGTTAGTCGTGCGCACTTACGGTCACTCTAGGTAGTGTAATACTGTATGTGTGATGTCCCATATAGTCTAAGTGCTATATTGGTGACCTACTATGGCGTACTGTCCATGATGTGATCTCACACAGATACATCTACCCCTGTTGTCGGGGCATAAAGAGGTACGTTGTTGCTAGACATCTGGCGAACATGTGGGAAGAACTGCAGTGAAAACCTTTTCTGTTTGGCCTCTCTCACAGATGCATCTATTCCTGATGCCATGGGGCTAGGGGAGAACTAGAAGCCATGAGCACAGCAGTCAAAACCGCATCATCCTCTTCATTAAACGAGAAGTACTACGAATGGCATATAGTGCTTGGGCTCGGCAGATTCAAATTTAATGGGTGCAGGCGGGGGATGCTGCGGAGAGGGGGGGGCGGGGGGGGTAGGTGAAATGTTGAGTATTTGCACTGGCAATTTTTTGATCTGATCTCTCTGTAATGAAGAATTGTGAAAAAATGATGGCTTGCTTAGGTATAGCGGAGGAGGTGGGCAGGCGGGGTGCAGCGGTGGGGTGAACTGTTGTTGGACTCCACGTTTTTAGTTCTTATGTCCTTTGACAAAGAATTCTGAAAGGGAGAATGGATGTCAAGGAATCAAATCAGAAAAATGAAAAGTGGCAAAAAAAGGTTGCTACCAAAGGAAACTCTGGTGCACACCGTCTCGATATGGTTGCACCACGTCTTGTGACCCGCTTGGAAGCCATGGTCATAGGTTCGGGAGAATTGGTGGCTTAGGAGCTATTTCATCGAGATGTCTGCACCGCAAGGGACCAATGTAAAGGTGTGTGCAACCACATCAGAAAAGAAATGGCATCTCTATGGCAGGAGGAGGAAAGTCTAGCTGCGGCACAGAACTTGAATTGGGCTCCACCTGCGCTACTCAATGAGTGAGACAATGGTAATGAGGCGGCTTGATGCTGCTGGCTCTCTTCATCTCTTTCAATCTCTGTGTCGATGCATCAGCTTGTGCCTTAGGCATGGTCACGTGTGCATGCGAATAACACTCGCGGGTCTGTGGCTTTCCCTGATTATTGGGGCCATTGTGGATGGACGCAGTATGTGTCATTGGTGCGGTTCTCGTGTGGCGTGGATTTCAGAGCACATGATAGAGGTGGTCGTTTTTTTTTTGTACAATACAATAGGGCCTCTGCTGTCACATTGCGGACTGTTGTGGGCCCATGTTTTCGGACCCTTTGTGTTGTTGAAGGGGAGTAACTAATCGGCTAGTTTGTGCAAGTGCGCGTCAAACCCACTACCTCCGAGCCTCGTTTTGCCGAGGCTGAACAGAACTGCTCATCAAGCTTTGCTGAAGCACCAGCACAATTTTCTTTTGTGTTTTGGCCGGTGCCACCAGCCATTTTGTCCGGAGGTGGCTGGCCTTCGAAGAATGTCACTGTCGGGCCACACACACACTCAGGCAGACGTGCACTCAGGTACATGGACCAGCGAGCACACACAACACTAATTATAAAATTGCTTTAATATGTTGGACATCTCAAATGGTCTCGTTGTCTGCAATAGAGAAGGCATTCAGAGAGAGGCATTTAGGGAAGATAGAGGGTGACTTGAGGGTAGTATAGCGCGCGTGTGATATATATATATATACAGAGAGAGAGAGAGAGAGAGAGAGAGAGAGAGAGAGAGAGAGAGAGAGAGAGAGAGAGAGAGAGAGAGAGAGAGAGAGAGACTACTGTCTCGAGTGTGCATAAAAGACACTATGTTGTAGAAAACTTGATTTTTTTAGCAATTTCCAAGGTGTTTTCAGTTTGGTGTGCGTCTCGTGTGTGAAGCTCTGTGTGGTGAAGTGTGGACTTGCTACTGCGTAACAAGTGATGGAAACTCGCGAGATTCCCCACCATGAGTTTCTGTTTTTTTTGTGGCTTGCCTGGGTGACCTGGGATGGTGGGTCCAGGCTGCTTGGGCCCGAGTGGCCTGGTGAGATATACGTGCTCATGTGACATTCATAGCCGAGGTGTCCATCCCTTTTAATGTGGCCTTGTTGCCGTGGAAGACTTAGCGGCACACCCCTTCTCAATGCTTCAACCCGCCGATGTACATTCTCAGACCAACTCTTATGACCCTGAATCAATTTCTGAGAGACGTCTTATATGAGTATCATTTTTATCAACACCTTCAAAACCAGCACCCTCTCAGACGCCCCCACAAGACCTTGACATTTTCAAAATCATAACGTTTATCCAGGGCTTACAATTGTCTCCCCAGGTCTTTTCTAATTTGTAGAGACACTTAACAAGGACCCTGGCTGTCTAGGCCTGATAGGTGAGTAGGTGGTTACACCAGTGATGTATTAGTCGTTTCACTTTTGTTTGGTTTGTTTCAGTTTGTGTCTGTGTCCTAACTTTGCTCTGGCTTGTGTTGGTTTCGTCTAGTTCCTTTTTGTTTGGTTTTGTTGTTCAGTCACTTCGGCATTGGTTTCGTTGTTTATTGCTCTTTTATTTTGTGTCATTTGGGGCCTCTCTCCACCACTTTAGATTTGACGTTTTTATAGAGTGAGGCTCCACTCCGATTGCCCTTGATTCTTCGCTTTGGAAAAGTGATCAAGAGTTGTCTGATAGATTCCATTGAGAGGACTCTCGATTTTCCAAGAGTCCTCAGCCTGCACGCGCTTGGAAACTGAGGGCCCTCTTCACCGGCGTTGATTTGCAAGAGTCAGCTGCGTGTTGGGACCCCACTCGGCCACTGTCCGTTTTTCTCTTCTTTTTTTCCCCCTCTTCGTCCTTATGTGTAGTTTGCAGTGAGGAGGAGGGGGAGAAGAACAAGAAAGGAAAGGAGAGTCCATCTGGAGTACATAAATCAACAGATGGTGGATTGAGGCCTCAGAATTAGCCATTACTCTTGATTTTCTGGTCAAATTGACAGTGGTGGAGCAAGGCCCTTCGATTAGCTGTTTTGAGTTATTCTTTTGATTTGTTGTTCTGTGTCTTTTGGCTTGCTTGTTTGTTTTTGTGGATGTTGTTTGGTTGGTTGGTTATTTGGGTGGGTGGATGGTTGGTTGAGGTTCCTAAGTTTGTTCACCTGTCAGTTGGTTGGTTAGTCGGGTGGCTGGTTATGTTTTGTGGCTTTGTTTGTCTGTTGGTTGACTTGTGTTACATTGACTCATCTAATTCATTTGTTCATTTATGTTTCTTCAAATAAAAAAATGTGGTCAAATGGGTCCAATATCCTCCTGGCATGAGCTACAACTTGAGAGGGCAATGCACGGATATGAGTGGCTGGAGTCCTCTAAGACCTGCACCAAGTTCTGTTATCAACCATTCTTGGATGTAAAGTTGGTTGGTTAGTCGGGTGGCTGGTTAGGTTTTGTGGCTTTGTTTGTCTGTTGGTTGACTTGTGTGACATTGACTCATCTAATTCATTTGTTCATTTATGTTTCTTCAAATAAAAAAATGTGGTCAAATGGGTCCAATATCCTCCTGGCATGAGCTACAACTTGAGAGGGCAATGCACGGATACAAGTGGCTGGAGTCCTCTAAAACCTGCACCAAGTTCTGTTATCAACCATTCTTGGATGTAAAGTTTCGAGTGTTTGTGTGAAGTCTTTTGTTAACTATAGATGCTGGTGTTGGTTCCTTGTGTGCAGCTTTGTCCAGGAATGCAGACAACAAGACCTCAACAAGCTATCAGGTACTTGCGAGTTTTTCCAATTGCGAATTGATTTCAGTTAAATTCAGTATCAATTAGACGATAATGGTGGATAGGGAAGAAGGGAAAGAAATCACATGGAAAGTTCAGGATGTAAAATCAGTATCCAGTACTATCCACCTCAGATAACAAATAATGAATACAAACCTCACTGACAAGAAAGGAGAGAGAGTAAGAAAGAAAAGGCTATACTGTTACATGCCCAGTTGGGCGATGTACATATATAACCGAGGATCTGCAGTGTGATAAAAAGGACTGAATGGACAATGCCGTGCAAGTGAAATCTCAACGAGCAATGTTACATACAAAATGGTGCTTTATAGTGCAGTGGAAGACTTAGATACAAGTCCTGACCTGACCGGGCTGACCTCTCTCACGTAGTGCCAGACAGCGCAGCGGAATGCTAGAATACCATACATGCGGCGCATTGCGATGCGCTGTACTGCGCACGTGCGCCGCACTGCGCATCCCGCACGACGCGCGCGCACTGCATGGGGCGCACCTCCAAAAATGGGGGCCCCCTGTTCGCGTAAAATAAGAAATGGGCAGCCAAATCTTTTTTGGAGGCCGCGCTTTGGCCTGAAAGCTTTTAGAAACCTGTAGTCCGCGTAACACTCTGTGTATGGTAGGGTTCTTGCAGTCTGTATGGTAGGGTTCTTGCAGGCCAGATTCAGTCATGATGGGGGTCACGATCTCTCAATTTTCTTCTTATTACTTCTGAAGTAGTAAACGACGGAACTGAAAGCCCTTTTTCCTGGATTTTTTTTTTTTTTAATAAAAAAGGGTGACGGCCTCGAGACATCATGGGCCTCGCCACTCGGCACACGAAGCGAAAACGAAACGAGTGCATCTGCCCGCGAAAGATGGCAAAATACACTCGTTACTATTTTTTATAGCAAACCGATGAACCTGGCCATTCTCTATAGAAAGATGTAATCGTTTCGTTTTTCGTTTCGTGTGCTGTACGGCGACGCCCCATGATTGATTGACCAGGCCCAGGGAGTTCATAAAAAAAAAGAGAAAAGAAAAAAGTAAAAAAAAACTCAACGGTACTGTTCACCAACGGGCTCGCTGCACTACTCTCGACATGCGCACAAGACATATATGGCGATGTATGTTTCCATGTTCGAGCGGAGGATTCAATCTCATTTGTTCAGAGATTCTCCAAAACAAAAAAAAGAAAGGTTCCAGAGATATGTTACGCGCTTACCTGATTCATTCTCATTTTGCACATTTTTGAAGTAGCAGAGCAACGGCCCTTCGCTCTCCACCACTCAACGTATGAGCAAAATGGGAATGAATCTTCCGCCGGAACATGGAAAGATACACCGCCATATTTTTTGTCCTTTGTGCATGTCGCCCCGCTTCCGGATTCATGTTGGCCATTGATAAGGGCGGTTTCTTCGGTCCGATAGTGTCAGCACACGGTTTCTCTCTCTCTCTCTCTCTCTCTCTCTCTCACACACACACACACACACACACACACACACACACGCACACACACACACACACACACACACAAGCCCAAAAAAGGCATGGCGCACAGTGCGCACCCTTGCACAGTAGCGCGCACGGCGCACCTCGTCCGCGCGCATTCTGCAGGGAGCACCGCACCGCACCAGTGCGCTGCAAGTATGTTGTCGCAGTATAGACCAAACATACATCATCCTCATCACAAGGTGTGAAGGGGCCTGGCGCTACACACAGGAAGAATGCGCCACGTCCAGTCCATACACAGACAAAGAGGAGGGGATCAGACGAAGAAGAAGGGGGAAGATGGGAATGTCGTCAACACCAAGTCTTCGTTACAAGTCCCAGATAATCCCTCGTCAAATGTCTGAAGCCCAATGTCGAGTCTGGATCCAAATGTCACCAAGCCCGCTCTCTCATAGTCTGCTGATGCAATGAAGTCAGGTAGCGAGAGGGTGAGAGGGAGATGGTGGTCGGTGAAGAGGAAGAAGAAGAACTCTCTCTCTCTCATGTGCCAGGTACTAACCTGTGAAGATGGCGCCGTGCTTCAGGTACCTCGAAGACAAAGCTGGAGCTATGGCGCTGCAGGTAAGTCTCCCTGGCCTCTGCCCAATCTCTCTCTCTCTCTCCAGTATTACTCTAGCGCCTCCTAGCGCCCAGCGCTGAAGACTACTGCTAACGCTGCTACTACTGCAGCGCTCCTCTAGAGTGCTGCTGTCGAATCCTGAAGACTACCTCCTGCCTCCTGAACTGCACATGAAGTGCCTGGGAAGTACCTAGGAACTACCTGCAGCCTGCAGGGCGGGCCAGTCCTATATAGTGCTGGCCCGTCCAGGAGGCTGCTCTTGCCAATCCCAAAACGTGCCAGACCCTGGCGTTGAAGTTCAACCAGGGGTTGTCTTGAAAACAGGCCCAGAATGGCCTGTGCTAAAACCCTGGTTTGGTGCCTGAGTTTCAGGGCAGCTCGATCTTATGAGGGCCTGAAAATGGCCCTCAGTTTCAGGCTGAAAAGACTCAGGGCAGGCCCAGAATGGCCTGTGCTAAAACCCTGGTTTGGTGCCTGAGTTTCAGGGCAGGTCGATCTTATGAGGGCCTGAAAATGGCCCTCAGTTTCAGGCTGAAAAGACTCAGGGCCGGAAAGGCCCTGATTTAGGCTGAAACGACACAGGGCCTGTAAGCCCTTGTTTTCAGGCTTTCAGGCTGAAACGACACAGGGCCTGTAGGCCCTTGTTTTCAGGCTTTCGGGCTGAAAACGACACGGGCCCGAAAATGGCCCGTGCAGCCTGTTGCAGGCGCAGAATGTAACAGGGTTATTGCAACGTACAAGGAACAGGTGGATGGTAGGACCTTCCCTCCATTCATGATTTCTATTCGTATGAAAATAGTAGTCTTGGGCATTTTGTATCTAGTGTACTCACACGTGTCCTTTACAATTTGTCTATTTGCTTTGTCTTCGGTGCTGGTACTCAAGACGCTTTTCCTGAGATAACGGTTAACGCAAGTGTTAACAGTTTATAATAGGGTGTAACTTTAAAATCCTTTTCTGCACGCACTATGCCTTGCAGTATCATAATGTGAGTGTAAATCACAGTTGTTGTGAGGGGACCAGAGTTGTGTTACTGCTTTTGAGCACAGACTGTCACCTAGTGGGGCAGAGCTGTGCCACCTAGAGGTAACTCTTATCCGGATATTATGTCTTTCTGCAGCTTTGCTTGTATTCAATAGGCTGTTCTTGTTTTTCACTGCTTTTAGCGGTCTGATCTTGGTGCTTTATCCAGATGGACCTTTGAATGAGGGATATACTAATGTTGAAGTTGTCCCAGACTGTTGGTCAAGGATTGGTCAGCCAGGCAGTGTGGTCACAGTGTGGTCTGTTGGTTGGTTCATCTCGGTCAATCAGTTTGGTCAGTCAGTCAGGATTAATGCAGTCAGAGTAGCTTTATTTGATTGGACATCTCATCCGATTCTTGGGGTCACTACAGTCGGTCGGTCAGTTGGTTCAATTAGTTCAGTCGGTTTGGTTTGTCTTGGTTCAGTTCGGTTGTGTTTTGTTGGTTTGTTGGTTGGTCCCTTTGTCATTTGGGCGGTCGTTCAGTCAGTCCGCGAGCCACCTGCACGCCTGCCCTGCCCACCTGCCCGGTCCTCGTCCTGCCTGTCCATTCGTCATGTCCTTTCAGCGGCAGATCGGTTCATGTATTTGTTGGTTTGTCAGCTTGTCGGTGCATCTGTCAGCCTGTCTATTTGTCTGTGTCTCTGTTGGTTTCTCTGTTTGTTGGTCTGTCTATATGTCCGTGCTTACAGAATCTGTCTAATTGATGCATGTTCGTCTAAAGATGAGCAATGCACAGGTCTGAAGGAGCACCAGTGTGATGAATAGGACTCAGAAAAAAAACGATATAGTGCAATGTAGCACAGCGGAAGGTACAACCGGACTAGTCAGACTCAGACTTGCACTCGACTCTCACGGACATCAACATACATGTCGCATATGCAAGGAGAGAAACATACATGGAGAAAAAATCCCTCCTTGCACACAGACATGGGGAGAAATGACGCTGATGAAGTGGAGACAAAGGAGGAAGAAGGGTGGAGAAGACAAGAGAATAATTATCTGCCCCGTCAAATCACTACATAGTACATATATAATTATCGCTAATTTCCTGCCTGTGACAAGCAGACAATCTGGGCCCTCCGATCTTTTGCTGCGCGACGGTCCCGATCGTCTGCTGATCGCTTTGTCTAAGAAGTTGAACCGCCGCGGCGCCGCCCCAGGGCCGGTAACGCTCCCGCGCGCCACGCTTGTGCCAGTACCACGCGCCGTACCGGGCCCGCGTGCCTACCCCGGCATTGCGCATTAGGATGCCCGCGTGCCTACCCCGGCATCGGGCAGTAGCATGCCCGCGTGCCTACCCCTGCATCACGGAGTAGCATGCCCGCGTGTCTACAGGGCCAGTGCCAGTCCTGCGAACTGTACCAGGCCAATGCAATTGTGGAACATTTAGTAACCAACTGTAGCGTTTGTACTTCCCAAGCCTCTCGACACTAAGCTACAGACACACTGAACTACTTGAAGACGTTGTCGACTGGATTCTGCGCTGTTCTACGCTACTCTACGCGTTCTACACAGACTCACACACCCACACACCCACACACACATCTGTCTGCGCCGTGCCATTCGATGCAGCAACTGTGACTTCTGCCCTCCACATATTTCTTTCCTCCCCGTTCCCCCTACCTCCCCTGCTCCATACTCCTAGAGAACTCCGCCTTCTATCCCTTATCCTCCACCCTCCCCTCCATTCCCTTTGTACTGCTAACAAATACATACCAGTGAGCATCATTAAGAGTATAGACGATATGAAGATCAGAAATGAAATGAACGGAAGTATGAAGATGAAGGACGGACACAAAGTGTTGCATACCGTATAGGTGCAGACCAGAACAAGAACCGACCTTTCAATACAAGGTATAAGATAGCACAGCGGAAGACTTAGATACCAGTGATCCGAACA